TTCCATCTTGCACTTAGCTGTGACACTCTGAGTACCTTTTCCACACCTGAAAAAGAGCTCAGTGTAACTTGAAAGCTTCTCTCTTTCACTACAGAAGATAGTCCAATAAAATATATTACCTCAGCCACCTTGCTTCTCAGATACCTGAAATACATACATGTGTATATATAGAGAGAGATTTTTCTTATTTGTGTTGTATAGTTTTAATTGTGTAAAAAGTACTTTGGGTCAGGAATAGGTGCTTGAATTATAAATCTAAATAAATAAAGTAATAAAAACACAGTGGCTTGATTTCGCAATGGATCACAGGAAAAAATCATATTGTGGCAGGAAAGGGGATCTTATCTAAGAAGGGAGTGAAAAGCACTGGAGTGTTCTAAATCCCATCAGAGATTCAGTTGTCTGTGATTGTTGGCTGGATGTTCTATTACCTGTTAACCTTGGTTTCTTAATTCCTTTGTGCACAGGTTGTGGAGAGGAGGAGAACTCCAGCTGAAATTAGAGAAGAATTTGAGCGTTTGCAGAGAGAGAGGGAAGAAAGGAGACTTCAGCAGCGAACTAATCCCAAGGTAAAGTAGAAAACACATCTGGTCTGATGAAGAATGAAGCCTTAAACCATAGGCGCTGACTCCGTGGAAAAATTGGTGGATGCTCTGCACCCACCAAGGCAGCCAATCTCCCCCTGCCCCAGCTCACCTTGCCTCCGCCTCCTCCCCCGAGCGCGCTGCATCCCCGCTTCTCCTCCCAGCACTTGCTGCCACAAAACAGCTGTTTCGCGGCATAACAAGCTGTGGGAGGGAGGGGGAAGGAGCGGGAATGTGGAGCGCTCGGGGGATGAGGCGGGGAGGAGGTGGGGCGAGGATTTGGGGAAGGAGTCCAGTGGGGCAGGGAGGGGGCGGAATTGGGGCATGGACTTTGGGGAAGGGTTTGGAATGGGGGTGGGGTGGGGGAGAGGTCGAGCACCTACCAGTGTCAGGAGACGTTGGCACCTATGCCTTAAACTGTTAGACATAACAGGTTTAATGGCTAGAGGAGTGATCTGAAACTAACAGGGTCATTTATTGCAGTTTTTCCCACCCTTTTATAATGCTGCAACTTATAAGGAAATTCAGGGAAAAAAACATTTAGTATATGTGGTTTACAGTAAAGTGAATTGTTTTAAAACGTTCTCCTCTATGGAGAATTCATTGTGCTTTCATTGGTGAGATACATGTAGAAGTAAAAATCTTTCTTGGAACCCTGAGAAAACATTCCAAACACAGGAACTTCTGAGTCCTATGCAAATATTCCAAATAAAGTGAAACTCCCTACAGTTCTCTGACAGGTTTCCCCTGTCACAGGTGTGCTGAGATACATTCAAATGCATCTTTGAAACTGAATGAAAGAAAGACAACTGACAAATCAGTTGCGTAGCAGAAATCTTCCAGGTGGAGTTTAGAGAGCAAAATAAAGTGATAAGGAACAGTCAGCATGGATTTGTCAAAAACAAATTGTGTCAAACCAACCTGATAGTTTTCTTTGATGGGGGAAGCGGTAGATGTGGTATATTTTGACTTTATTAAAGCTTTTGATACTGTTTCACATGACCTTCTCATAAACAAACTAGCGAAATGCAACCTAGATGGAGCTACTATAAGGTGAGTGCATAACTGGTTAGAAAACTGTTCCCAGAGAGTAGTTATCAGTAGTTCTCAGTCATGCTGGAAGGGCATAACAAGTGGGGTCCTGCAGGGATCAGTTCTGGGTCTGGTTCTGTTCAATATCTTCATCAATTATTTAGATAATGACATAGAGAGTACACTTACAAAATTTGCGGATGATACCAAGCCGGGAAGGGTTGCAACTGCTTTGGAGGATAGGATTAATATTCAGAATGATCTGGACAAACTGGAGGAATGGTCTGAAGTAAATAGGATGAAATTCAATAAGTACTCCACTTAGGAAGGAACAATCAGTTGCACACATACAAAATGGGAAATGAATGCCTAGGAGGGAGTAATGCAGAAAGGGATCTGGAGGTCATAGTGGACCACAAGCTAAATATGAGTCAACAGTATAACTCTGTTGCAAAACAAGTGAACCTCATTCTGGGCTGTATTAGCAGGAGTGTTGTAATTCTTCTGCTCTACTCCGCGCTGATTAGGCCTCAATTGGAGTATTATGTCCAGTTCTGGGTGCTACAGTTCAGGAAATATGTTGGCAAATTGGAGAAAGTCCAGAGAAGAGCAACAAAAATTATTAAAGGTCTAGAAAACATGATCTGTGAGGGAAGATTGAAAAAATTGGGTTTGTTTAGTCTGGAAAAGAGAAGACTGAGAGGGGACATGATAACAATTTTCAAGTACATAAAAGGTTGTTACAAGGAGGAGGAAGAAAAATTGTTCTTCTTAACCTCTGAGGATAAGACAAGAAGCAATGGGCTTAAATTGGAGCAAGGGAGGTTTAGGTTAGACATTAGGAAAAACTTCCTAACTGTCAGGGTGGTTAAGCACTGGAATAAATTGCCAAGGGAGGTTGTGGAATCTCTCCATCCTTGGAGATTTTTAAGAGCACGTTAGACAAACACCTGTCAGGGAGGGTCTCAATCAGCGTTTCTCAAACTGCGGTCCCTGAGGGTACTCCAGGGGGTCCACGGGCCTCACTGAGAAACTCCTCCCACTCTCTCCCTTCCTCAACTCCTTCCCCTACCTCCCAGCACGCTGGAGAACAGGCTTCCTACCTGCCCTGGCTCCGCGCCACTCCTGGAAGCGGACAACATGTCCCTGCTGCCCTGGGGGATCAGAGGGTCTCCACTTGCTGCCTCCGCCCTGAGCGCTGCCCCCGCAGCTCCCATTGGCCGGGAACTGTTGGTCTAGATAATACTTAGTTCTGCCATGAGTGCAGGGGACTGGACTAGGTGGCCTCTCAAGGTCCCTTCCAGTCCTAGATTCTCTGATAAACCTGAATATTTTTGGGATCTTGCCAGTAGCACAGTTAGTGTCCATTTTGAGAGAACTTTATCATACTCTTACTACAACAGCTGCTATCCAGTGCATTGTTCCTAGCTCTGGGTCTGCTTGAGCTGTAATAAACTGGTACCTAAATGACCCCCATCATAGCTGAAGCTTAGTTATTTAAATACACTCAAGGATATAAAGTCTTGTGTTGATAACAAGTTTTCATAGCAACATTTTGTGTGTGTGTTGTGGGGAAGATGAAGTCAAACGTGGTGGCCATCCACTGCTTTTTCTCCTCTCCCTGCTGAGGGTAGGAGGACATTCCAGTAGTTCGGGATCCTGATGGCCCTGATGGGTTATTGGCTTGATATCCAGCCACACTTAGCAAGACAAGGCTGAGGAGTATAGCAGAGATTACCAGCTATTGCTGTTTAAAAGCTTCCTGAGCCACATGGTATTCACTTGTTATGCAGTGAAGTAACACAATACCTAGGAGTTAAATCTCTTGGAGCTGCGCTAGCCTAATTTATGCTTGAGGTTTCCCAAACATTACTCAGTTTTTGGCTTTTAAACTATTTTGCATAAAATAACAGAAACCCCTATGTGCCTATGTTTGAAACCGAGGCTAGAAATCAAGTTCTGTGAGGCTTGGGATGTAATCATGATCGTAAGCTTAGATTTCACCCCCTCTATCCTGCTGCCCCTGGGCACACATTTTAAATTCCTTTATTAAGACAAACAGAATTTCTCCAATTGGATAGAAATCCCTGGATGAGAAAATAACTTCCATTTTATTTATAAATGCCCCCTTAATTGAGAGAAACTTAGCTGTCTTCAAGATGCAGCGTTGGACAAGCTAGCTTGGGGCTGGCAAACTCTGCATTAAGAAACAGTGAAGTGCAGGTTTTGTGTGCTTGGTAGCTCGTAGTGTAACAAGAAGGCTCTTGCAGTGCCACCATCACCATGTTAATGCCCGTAGTCCCAGTGCGCTGATACAGACTAACACGGCTGCTACTCTGAAACCTGTGATTTAACTTGTTTCTTGGGTCATCCAGCTCATCCGCCAAGATTCTACACTGGTGCAACTGCTGTCTTGGAGAAATGATAGTGTTTATATTACCAGGGATACGAAAATATACTTTTTAAGATGGATGTGGGTAATGTTTTGCAGCCCATCAGAGTAGTATCCCTTTAAAAGTTTCCTATGCTTGACAATTCATGCGGATTAAGGTAGTGTGTGAATTTAAAGCACAATAGGTGTTTCAGACCATCTCCATGTGTAGACATTCTTATTCCAAAATAGGAATTCCTTGTTCCTGTTTACTTTAACTCAGAGTGGGTTAAACTAAACAGGAGGAAAGCACTCTTATGCTGGAATAAATCAGGAACAACTGTAGATACTGTTTAATGCATGGAAATAATCCAGTGAGGAGTTAAGGTAAAATGCAATACTGTTTTTTGTTTTTTTTTCTGCACTTGATACTTTATATTCAACATGTTTAACATCTGATGAAGTGAGCTGTAGCTCACGAAAGCTCATGCTCAAATAAATTGGTTAGTCTCTAAGGTGCCACAAGTACTCCTTTTCTTTTTGCGAATATTTTGCACTGTTATTTTCCTTGCCCGCTTCATTCTATTATGAGTCTGGTAAATTAATTGCACTATAATACACAACTCTTCTTCTGCACCAAAACTTTACTTTTCTGCACAATTCCGCACCTGTCATAATACTAAAATTATCCAGAGTTCCTTCCCTAGTGTTCTAACTTTGTCTCCTCTTCTTATGGATACACGATGTGGCTTGCTGTCATCCCTCTTAACAACAGCCAGCAGACCAAATGCTGGCTTCAGTGTCTGGACACCTGGAGCTCACCATTACTGTCTCAGGCCAACATGGGCAAAGAGGCAGAGCAAACAGAACATTTTATTAAACGTTATATTTCTTTAAATCTTTAAAAACAGAAGAAAATATTTATACCATCAATAAGGGGCTTGGTAACTGTCCTTTATTGTCTGGTCTCTCTCTGACTTATTGCGTAATTAGGGAGAGTGGTCACTTTGGATGAGCTATTATAAATATTATTATTATATTATATATAATAATATATATATTATTATACTATTATATATTATAAACCTGGATTTGTGCAGGAAATAGCCCGACTTGATTATGTAAAGAGTTGTCACTTTGGATGGGCTAGCACCAGCAGGAGAGTGAATTTGTGTGGGGAGGTGGAGGGTGAGAAAACCTGGATTTGTGCTGGAAATGGCCCACCTGATGATCACTTTAGATAAGCTATTACCAGCAGGACAGTGGGGTGGGAGGAGGTATTGTTTCATATTCTCTGTGTATATATAAAGTCTGCTGCAGTTTCCACGGTATGCATCCGATGAAGTGAGCTGTAGCTCACGAAAGCTCATGCTCAAATAAATTGGTTAGTCTCTAAGGTGCCACAAGTACTCCTTTTCTTTTTAGGGAGGGGAGTGAGAGCAGTGACAGGGTGTGAGGTTGACTCTAGGTGCCTGTCACTTGTTGTGGTATCATTTCCTCTCTCTTAATATAGGCGTGTGTAGGGAGAACTTGATTTGATTTTACATTTCTCTTTCTCTAATCCATCATTAGACTTGGCTACGTAGAGACTGGTCTTGTGTAGTTCAACTGATGATGTAGCTTCCCACTCCACCTACCCTGATCTGATAAGTCTGCTGCAATGATAAATATGTGTGTCTCGCCTGTCGCTCAGAAAGGACGTTAGCGCTAAACTGTGTCTTTGAGACTTTAGCTGAGATGATATTGCAGCTTCCATTCCTTCCTCAGCTCCCCGGATGTAGCTTTCTCTCCTTTTTTCTCTGCCATATAGGGACAACTAAACACGAATTGTTCTATGAATACTAAGATTTATCTGTCGGCATATCTCATGTTGTTGAAGAACAGTTTATGCTCTGCTCATTCCCATGGGACAAAAACTGTTTTACAGTATGTAATTTAATTTTTCCTTTGTGGCAGTTTTTCTCTGTGCCACCTATGTTATCACTGGAAAATCAAATAAAAATTAACCATAAAAAATTGTGTCAATATACAGGAGTCTGCAAATTATTGTCAGTCCACTGAGCAATGTTTTTCTGTGCCACTTGCCCACAGGCTCACTTTCCTGTTCTTCTCTTCCTCTCCTCCCTGCCTTCAGAAGAAATCTTTTTTCTTCTTGCATGTGCTTTGGTCTTCACTGGAGCTTTTCTGCTAATACACAAAGGGTAAAATGGAAGAACTCTTCCCTTTATGGTCTTAATAAAATCAGAACTTCTGTATTAAAAACCACTGGAAATATCTCAAAGCCAAAACAATGGTTTTAAATGAATCCCTAATGTACTTGAGATGCCCTTCTTTTGTATTTCCCTTGGCGAAACCGAGTCTTCTGGAGATCAGATAGCTCTTTTACCTCAGTCTTCTCTCTCTAGCCTCAACCTGAAATATGGGACAATCAGGAGGCAGATTAGTGAAGCTCAGTGTGGCTTCAGAGGAGCCTGGAGGCAACTGGGTTTATTTTACCGTGAATGTGGGGACCAAAGATACACTCTGAGTGGGAGCTGAGGTGAAGAGAGCACAGCAAACAAAACAAACTGTGCAAAAGAACAGGAGTGACAGCCAGTGATTGAAAACAGGCCCATTGGCTCCTTTGATCCAACCTTAATGATCTCTTATCAATGGCATTCCAACCAGAAAATGGATTCCAGAAAATGGATAAAACTAAAGAAATTGGAAACATCCTTGTTACAAATCAGGGTGGTTTGGTGCAAATGGATATTCTGAGGAATGTGGGGAACAGACAGGGGGTGTGGGGTTGGTTATTGCCATATAATGCTTCTCTGTGACTTTAGGAATTTGACACTTTTTTCTGGGTGTTTCACAGTAGTTGTGAGCAATAAAAAGTAGAGCTGCAGTGTAAGCCTGAGCCTCTGTGTCCTCCTATAAAATTAGCCATCTGGGTGTTTACAGCAATTGCTTATTGGCATTCTATGGAAATGTCTCTCTAGGCAGCGTTCCTGTGGAATTAGGTAGCACAGCTGTGATCATTTCATAAGAATGCAAGCTATTTTAAAATGTCTAACATTTTATTAGTTCTATAAAATGGTTCCAGCTAAATAAAGCATTTCTAACCAGAAATGTTGAGCAATACCCAGATATAGGCAGTTTGGCAGATTTTAAGTTGGGTTATTTGCTTTTAGAGTTCTGTTTTTGCTTTTTGAGATGTGCTGATGGGTTTGGAAAGTCAGTTACTTGGTTTGAGAGGAAATACTTCACACTTGGAGAGAGCAAATCTCTTTATTTGCCTGTGTCGGAGAATACAGATACTTTGAGGGTTATCCAGCTCCCACCACCTTTTTCTTCACATGCGTCAACTTGCAGGAATGTTCTCCCTAGGGAACAGGTTTCAGAGTAGCAGCCGTGTTAGTCTGTATCCGCAAAAAGAACAGGAGTACTTGTGGCACCTTAGAGACTAACAAATTTATTAGAGCATAAGCTTTCGTGAGCTACAGCTCACTTCATCACATGCATAGAAGCAAGAAAGAGCGGGAAGAATCTCTTCTCTGATACTACTCTGGGTATAATTAACATGTCTGAATAAATAAAAATTAAGCCATCTCTGTTTTCACTGCTCCTTCTTTTGCCATTCTGTAGTATTTCATCTTATGAATACTACTTCCTTCTCTGTGGTTACAATTCTGGTTCACAAGCAGAGTACCTTTGCCTCTTTTTTTTTTTTTGGGGGGGGGGGGTGGGGGGGCTCCACTGGGATCAAAATTTAGCTTTTTCTTGAGTGCATTAGCCAGCAGCTGACTCAGATACTAGTCCGATGCCCACTTCAGTTTGGCTTAAACAAAACAAATTTTGATGGGCAATCTTACAGAAAAAGAAAATAATAAAATAGTTCTAGAAGGCCTACATTAATAATATGTAAAACACTCCAGCTGTCACGTAGCTGAAGATTACAGAATATCGCATGGTGACTGTGTTCATATCGATGTGGAAAAATACCTCATTTCTTCCTGCGCCACCATCTTAGGAGAGGTACAGCAGAAAAGACATGCACTAAACTAGATCCTCCAAAGACATTGTATCTGCATTAGCTTTTAGATCTAAAATATCTCTTGGTTGCTTCCACCAGTGTTAGCAATGGCATGGCTGGTGACATTGTAACATTCGTGCCATCTAACCCTGCTTGGAGCCTTGTCTTCAGTAGTACTTCCACCAAAGCTACCACCCCACCAGTGGGTAACAAAATTGGGAAAATTTAGTGAAAAAGGAGTTTTCCCAACCAGGCTACATAAAAGTGTGATGATCAACTTGGTAGGATACAGGTGATGCTGGAGTTTATTTTGACCACCCTTCATTGGTTGACCAGTGTGTCAGACAGATTTATAAGATATTTTATTTGCATGCTTAATCTATATTTCTTGCCTGTTTTTAGACATAGATTCTGCAGCTGGGTTAATTTGTTCTATTGTAATTTCATGTATTGATTATTTTAATTCCCTTTTAATCAATATACCTAAATCTGGTAGTTGAACGCTGCAGCCATTTCAAAGTGCTGCAGAACACATCCTGGTCCAAATCAAACCCCCTGATTTTATTAATCCAGTTTTAATGACCTTGCACTGTTTCCTTGTGGAATAGAGTATTATGTTTAGGGTTATTTGGTGCTTGATTTTCTGTCTTTTGGGGCTTCTGTCACCAGTTTATCTCTCTGACCTTGTAAGACAATGCCTGCCACACAGATTACTACATTCCTACTCTCACTATTTGATTGTTTCTTGATTTTCTTCTATGACTAGCTGATCACTGATTCACTGTCTCGCTCGCTTTATTCATAGAACTGGCACCTTCCCAGTTCAAGCTTTGTGATTCCCTGGGACAGATTACATTTTACAGGAAGACTCATGATGGAAATTGTGTCTTTGTTGTTGTAAAGCACTCTCCTTGCAAAATTATTTAATTAAAAAGCACCCACATTTTTTATAAAAGGAAAATTATGAAGAGGGAATTTCACTGAAGACCCCTGAAAAACAGGCACATTACACTTATGCAAAAAGCCATTTCCTTTGCAATAATTAGCAATAATAGCTAAGGAAAAGTGGAACATTGCTGGGGGATATTGTGTCGGAAGAAAGCTTTCACCTAAACTGAGTTTCCTCCTCTTGCATGACTCTGCAGTGAAGACACAATTTTTTCTTCTTATCTCAGCTGTTTTCCATAAAAGTGATTGTGACGTCATAAGTGGATGTTGCTTGCAGTCTGAGCTATTATAAAGCTTTCCTATATAGGAGCCATTGCAACACATCAGTAGCAAGCTTGACAAAATCTTTTTAGATTATGAGCTCTTTGGGACAGGGTCCTTGGCATGTTTTGGTTTGGAAAGCACTGCCCTAGCAGATTTGTCATTTCTCCTGGAAATAATAATAGTAAAACATGAGAAGAGAGAAAATAAAAGAGAGCTCCTTGCAGATGAATTCCAGAAATTGCCATCCTTCCTTTCTAGGATGTGTCTACACAGCAGCTGGGAGGGTGCTTCCCCGTGTGGGTGAGCAGATGCCCTAGCTTTGCTCCAGCTAGTGTGCTAAAAACAGCAGTCTGGCCGTGGCAGTGTGGGGGGTGGCACGGGCTAGCTGCCCAAGTACAAACCCACTGGACACCCTGGGTACGCGGGTGGCGCCCTCCCAGGTGCTGTGTAAACATACCCTCAGAGACCAAGAAGCTTTGATATAAATAAATGCATTTTCATTCAGACATCTTTCCTTGTTTACTATGTAAACAGATACTGCAACCAGGACCTCATGTACTCTGTGATTCTGTGGCCGTGGAATGTACGAATCCATCCTTTGCTGCAGGATTGTGCTGTACAATCCAATCGTTCACTGAAATAAACGAAAAAAAACAAAACAAGTCTAGCCCTTATAATTGTAAAGGAAACTTTCAAACATCAACTGAGTCTAAACAAAAAGAAAAGGAGTACTTGTGGCACCTTAGAGACTAACCAATTTATTTGAGCATAAGCTTTCGTGAGCTATAGCTCACAGCTGTAGCTCACGAAAGCTCATGCTCAAATAAATTGGTTAGTCTCTAAGGTGCCACATGTACTCCTTTTCTTTTTGCGGATACAGACTAACACGGCTGCTACTCTGAAATGAGTCTAAACAGAAGCAGTGATGACTTCCTGAGTCTGCAGACAGCCTGAAACAGTAGCTCTGGGCAAGTTGTGACCTGCTCAGTTTATCTCTGTGGGGTGCTGACATTGACATTTTCATAATTAGATTTCAAAATTAACATTGAATTCAGAAATTTGTTTATATTATGGTAGCATCTAGTGGCCTAAACTGAGATAAGGGCCTTATTGCACTGGGTGCTATACATAAACCTAAAAAGAGACTGTTCCTGTCCCATAGACTTGACAATCTAAATAAGACCAACAAAGGGTGGGAGAAAGGAAGTATCAATATCCCAGTTTTAGAAGGGGAACAAGGCACGGAGAAAGGGGGAGATTTTCAGAGGCCCAAATGGAAGCTAGGGTGTCCAATTCCCATTGATTTGCAATGGGAATTTGTGCCTTTGCAAAATCTCCCCCAGATGACTTGCCCACGTTGACAGAGGTCATCTGTCGCACTGCTGGGACTTGAGTTCCAGCCTCCACGACCTTCAACACACGGGCATATCCTGCAAACCCAAAGTGCCTCCTCCACTTTCTCAGGTGCCAAAATTCCCCAGTTGTCCTTGTGTCAGATGTTAAAATTTCCATTTTCCCCCCTAAAAATCTCTCTGATACTGTTGTTTGTTTTCAGTGTAAAAATTTGCAGCATACTAAAAATTATAAATTATGGGACAGCATACAAAATGGAATTTAATATCAAATTAAATAATTGGATATTGTTCTGACTATATTCTTCATTTTCATAGTTAATTCGCTAAAAACCTCCAACTGTAGCTATGCTAAGGTACTACAATGCAGGGGTCCTGTTGCAGAATTAAGATCAATCTTGCTACAGAGTTTATGGGGTCTTGAGAATAGCTGGGAATCCCAAGTGTGACCCCGGTGAAATCCCATCACTCCCATAGGGGAGGGATCATAGAGTTTGACAGATGTATTTTTAATCCCCTCTTTATATTCTTTCAATGGATTCCGTACTGTAGGGGCATTAAGTGGATGTGAGATGTGTCTGTCCCCATTGCTTGGTGAGAAGGACATCTGAGTACTGTGTTCGGTCAATCCATAAGGTCTCTATCAGACCAAAGTCAGCTGCATGCTCCTCTAGTATAGTGCATTAATCGGCCTAATACTAGGCATCAAAAATACCCCCAGCTGATTCAGAAGACCAGGGTAATTTAAATTAATCCTGCTGGTTTTGTTCTCTTGTATAAACTTGGAAATCGATATATTTAAATTAATTATACCCGCTCTAGGAAGGAAAAGAGGTAAAACTTTCATCTGGTGTTGTGACTTAGACTTAGAGGATGTTTATCTGCACCACACACTCTCCAAGTAAGAGATAGAGACCATGTCAAGTGGGGCAGTTCTCTGTCTTTCTGGATTTTCACAAGTAGAGGGTTGAGTATAATTAAAACTATTCCTGTGGCTTTGCTGAAATGAGAGTTCTCAGGTGCATGACCCCGTGCTGAGCCCATTTAAAAGGGAGGCTGCATCTGATGGAATGTCCTGCCAAGTCATGACAAAGGTTCTGATTTTAGGTATCTATATTTTTAAATCCTGAGATGACCTAATCCTGTCTAACTGGGAGAAGTGGCATGGATCTTGTCAGTGTAGTAATATGTCATCCACATTATATTGGAGGATATGTCACAGTTCTCATCATACACCCTGTTGTTGGGGGTTATAACTTGGCCGTAAATATTCAATACCTTTAGAAACCTGATGGTAAGGTTTCCATTTGGGAGCAATTTTATGGTCTTAATTTGATTCTAAGAGTTCCTCCCTGCAATCTCTCTCTATTAAAGTGCTTCCAGCACTGTTTGGAGTACCTAGTTTCATCTAAATGGTGGGTGAAAGGTTCTTGACTTGCCCACACAGTATGACCTCAGGAAGTGGGAAAGCAGTGGAATGGTTATAAATTGTTTTAGAAAGTACCCTGTATTCTATAATATGCTTATAGCCAGCTTTTCCAAGGCTCTGTCCTGAGTTCTCAGCCCCAGGATATTGTGAGGAGTATTATGCTGGCTCCAGCACTCAGTATATGTGGCTTTAATTTTTAATTCTACTTTCAACCAGCTTGCAAGTGGTAGCCTGCAAATCTAGGCGAGGCTGTGGAGGGCTCTGTTCGATGCGCTATTGCATGAGACGTATTTTTTGGGGAGATGGATAGAGAAAAAGACTCTAAAGTACTTTAAAGCTGACTTTCAAGGAAAGTTCTAACAAAAAAGAGGTCATTAAAAAGCAGTCGTGTGTTGTGCTTATAAGATTCAAAAACACGTGTATTTATTAGAGAGACTTTCAGGTGATCAGTCCATAATGCAGGCTGCTCTGAGGTGCTGTGTTAATAACTCCCTTTCGTACTGAAATTTTGCACTTTACAGCATGCTGCCGTGTGTGCAGATTTAACTTTCTAGTAGGACTCTTAGTTCATTCTTACTGCTCATGTGCAGCTCCCACATTTCAGGATGTTGTTTTCTTTTCTCCTATATTCTCTGAACAGGTGGCTGACGGTGAGTTGTTGGTAGCAGCGACCTCTCTCTCTCTCCTTTCTGGTGGCATAGGGGGTGCTGTCGTTCTTTGATTATGTTTTTAACGGTACCATCTGCTGCTTTGTCTGTGCTTGTATTTGAGCCAGTTTCCTTGCCAAGATCAATAGGCTGTTTGAGAGTGACTTCACCTACTTGGTGGTAGGGAAAATTTCTTTATGGAATCTACTACATAGGCTCATAATCCAGTGAAATGCATCTTGTGGAAGGCAGGAGCTGAAATATGCTTAAAAAAAAACATTGAGGGACAACTCCCCACCCCAGAATACTCAGTTAAGATAGTATAAGGAGCACCTGGCTTCTTGTAATCTTCCAAAGACTTTATATGCAATGAGACTGCTTTAGGTTTGAAACTTTAGATACTGCTGTTTTTCGTCAAGGTGAGTATTTTTACAACTACCACTAGTGTAGAAAAAGAAACCCCAAATACAAATCTGATGACGTCCAAAGTAATGCTAATGAGAAAAAAAATACAGTAATTTTCAGGACTCAATCTATATAGTTAATAATTAGACAAAGGTGAGGACAGGTAAAAGATACAGTAGAACCTCAGAGTTACGAACTGACCAGTCAACCACGCACCTCATTTGGAACTGGAATATGCAATCAGGCAGCAGCAGAGACCAAAAAAAAAAAAAGGAAATGTAATACAATACTGTGTTAAACATAAACTATTTAAAAAATAGCAGGAGAAGATTAAAAAAAAGATTTGACACAGTAAGGAAACTGTTTCTGTGCTTCTTTCATTTAAATTAAGATTGTTAAAAGCAGCATTTTTCTTCTGCATAGTAAAGTTTCAAAGCTGTATTAAGTCAATGTTCAGTTGTAAACTTTTGAAAGAACAACCATAACATTTTGTTCAGAGTTATGACATTTCAGAGTTATGAACAAGCTCCATTCCTGAGGTATTTGTAACTCTGAGGTTCTACTGTATCTATTAAAAAAAAGCCCGAATACTGCAGCTCTTCTTCAGATTTATTTTTCATTCATAGATTCGCTTTTTCTTTAAAATGACCTCATAAATTATTATGATGTTACTGGAGTGGGCCAGTGGACACTGAGAGCTAAATAATATCAATATAATAATTGACAAAGGAGGAGAGCGAGAAAAAGCAAATAGAGTCCATAAAAAGCAATAAGTATCAAGTGAATGATTCATAAAAATATGTGGGTTTTGATGGTTTCTTCAAAAATGTCTGGTAGATGATCATCTTGTTCCAGAGAGAATTACATTTTTAAGTTTAGAAACCACTAAGGTTCAAAAGTTTTCTCTGATTTTTATCCTAAATTTTGAGAAAAAACTAAGGTGAGTAATGTTGATTTTCTTCAGTAAAGAGTAGCTACTGAGTAGGGCCCGACCAAATTCACAGTCCATTTTGGTGAATTTCACGGTCAGAAATGGTAGGGCAGTTGTGGTATCTGCTGCTGCTGACGGCGGCGCTGTCTTCAGAGCTGGGCGGCCGGAGAGCGGCAACTGCTGGCCGGGAGCCCAGCTCTGAAGGCAGTGCCACTGATAGCAGCAGTGCAGAAGTCAGGGTGGCCCGGTCTGGTCTTGCTTCCCTGACTTCTGCACTGCTCCCGGCAGAGCCGGGCCCTCGGACAGCAGCCGCCGCTCTCCGGCCGCCCAGCTCCGAAGCCAGCAGCGCAGAAGTCAGGGTGGCCCGGTCTGGTATTGCTTCCCTGACTTCTGCGCTGCTGCTGGCTGTGCTGCCTTCAGAGCTGGGTGCCTGGCCAGCAGCCGCTTCTTTCCAGCCACCTCTGAAGGCAACACAGAAGTAAGGGTGGCAATACCACATCCCTCCTACAATAACCTTGCAACCCCCCTGTGACCCCGTTTTGGGTTGGGACCCCCAGTTTGACAAACCCTGGCCTCCCCTGTGAAATCTGTATAGTATAGGGTAAAAGTACACTGAAGACCAAATTTCAGTGTGCGCAGTGACCCCTCTGACCCTTGACCCTCTCTGGGCCGGGGCTCTGCAGCCACACATCTCAGGTTTGTTATTTTATGATTTTTTTTTTTTTTTTTAAATTAGGGAGAGGGATAGCTCAGTGGTTTGAGCACTGGCCTGCTAAACCCAGGGCTGTGAGTTCAATCCTTGAGGGGGCCATTTGGGGCAAAAATTGGGGATTGGTCCTGCTTTAAGCAGGGGGTTGGGCTAGATGACCT